GACAGCTGATCAACGACTGTTGTCAGAGAAACTTACATTAAAATTGTAATGTATATATCCTTCCAATCGCATAATTTACGTCGCAAGTTATTTTATGTTCGTTTGTTGTTGACATTTACTCATTCATTTAATTTTGTTACGCAGAATAAATCTCAAATGTTGTCATCCAAGAAATCTTTTAGAATTTGTTTCAAGTATAATGTACCTTTGTTATTATACTGGTAATGAGTAAATCAGTATCAACGTATACATTTAAACCGTTGTCGTTAAACATGATAATAATTAACAGTTAAAATATCGCATAATCAAATGTATTTATTTTTATATGAAATGAGAATAAAGAAGAAAAGGAAAAAATGATCACTCATGAATTTGTAAGTATATGGAAAAGTGTTGTTTCTGTGTTTTTTTAACCCATCTGAAGCAATCGGTTGCTGTTGTTTAGCACAAATAAAACAACTTAATATTTAGAAATGATTTTTACATGATTATATGCATAAAACCGACTTGTTATGAAAAGTAGAAATAATTTATAGCAATGTGAACATAATATTTTTTTATACATTATATAATTTAACTATACTTAGCTAGCACTAGCTAAATTCTAAAATTGTACGACTTAATACAACTTAATGAACTATAAATGTAATATATGTATACATATGAATGTAATAATGTAATTAATGTAATTACATTAAAGCTATATTATTTTTAATCATAAAATATAAAATATTGTTATCACAAAACAAAGTATAAATAACAACAATATTTTTAATAACAATAATATCAAAATACTTATGTTAATACTAAAATTGTTATTAAATAAATTGGTATTAGAATCATATAATTTTATGTAATGAATAACTTAAAAATTGATTCTAAAAATATTGTTGCTAATTAAAAAATAAAATAGAGATGTTTTTAATATATAAAAAGTCTAGGGGCTGAATGATTTTTTGAGTTACGGCAGGATCTTAGTTTTTCAATTTATTGATTTATAAATATTTAATTTATTTATACTTCAGTTTCAATTATTTACAACTTATAAAAGTTTTTAAATAAATTTCAAAGTAATGAAATTTGTCATTTTTGTTAGTAAAATAATATTTTCGAACGAGTTAAGTAATTCTATGACGTTAATTGAACAATCTTGTGTTGATATGAAAATACTTATTGACCTTTTAGATTCGATGCAAACATCAGAAGGTTTAACACATTCTCAGCTAAGGTAAATAAATTAATCAATTAATATAAAAACAATTGTATTTACCTTAATATGTGTATTTTCGTCTGTCAATAAAAATGTTCACTTTATTAAACTATATCTATTTTGCTGATAAGTAGCTTAAATGACCCAAATTTGAACTAGTTGAATATATAATTCTTAAAAATTTGATTATTTCTATGGTTTCTTTGAAAATGAAGCATTTCAATGGCTTCTTACATTGTGTACACTTCTAGGGCTTCTTAAAATTGAATCATTTCTAAGGCTTCTTTAAATTTTATGGAATTTTTATGGCTTCTTTAAAATTGAATCATTTCTATGGCTTCTTTAAAATTGAATAATTTCTAAGGCTTCTTAAAGTTTTAAATTTCTATGGCTTCTTTAAAATTAAATAATTTCTATTGCTTCTTTAAATTTTATGGAATTTTTATGGCTTCTTTAAAATTGAATCATTTCTATGGCTTCTTTAAAATTGAATCATTTCTAAGGCTTCTTTAAATTTTATGGAATTTTTATGGCTTCTTTAAAATTGAATCATTTCTAAGGCTTCTTAAACTTTTAAATTTCTATGATTTTTTTAAATTTAAGCTATTTCTAAGGCTTCTTAAATTTTGTACATTTATATTTTCTTTACATTTTAAGCATTTTTATGACTTAAGAGTTACACTGATTGAAGTTATTAAATATGAATTATTTATATAGATATTGTTTAACTGAATATATGTAGGTGTTTTAGTCTCGAATTTTTTTTCCGACTCTCTTACAAAACATAAAAATTGAATGTGTTTGGACTTCCCAAATATTTTTCACTACTACTGTACTGAAATGACGCTAAAAAAACGAAATGAGCATAAGAGCACTTAATTTTCGAAATATTCAAAAATTGAAAATCAAATTTATTGATTTTCTGAAACAAATTTATAACTTTCATAGATATCCTTCGGTTTGGTATATGTATCTCGATTAACTATTTTTATGGTCATAGTTGTTTGATCACATAATTTAAGTACACGCATTTAAATCTCTCAGATAAAGCAATATGACAGTGTCAAAAACTTATTGCAGAAATATTTTATATTCTAATAATTTTGTTATAATGTTAAAAAATAGGATTATGATATTTGTTAATCAAATTAAATGGCTCTCTTTTATAATTTTTGAATAAGTAATAACTCTATTTGGACTTAATATCTTTATTTTATAAAGATAATTTTATATGTTTTTGATTTTCAACATTAAGCAGTTTTTTAAATTTGAAAGAATTGTTCATAAATTAGTAAAGAAATGAAAATTTTGAAAATTTATCTTAACTAGTGTGAAAATGTAAACTTTAATTAGCTTCCTTAAAATAATCGCCTATTAGATATCAAAATAGCTAAAGTAACTTTAGTAATAAAATATGACGCTAACATTTATTGTTTTATGTATAATTATTTAGGCTAATTATTATTATAATTTAATAATTTTTTCAATGCAAAATCTATTGTAAACTATAACATTCATTTTACTGATTTTAATTAATAATGTTTAATTACAAAATACATAATACGCCCGTAGTTGCTTATAACTTTCAAATTTGTTTTAATCATATTATAACCTTATCAATTATTTTTTGTTAAACACTCGTCCATCTCTTATATGATATAAACTCCATTAGCTTATGGAAGGACCCGTTTTTAATCCTGTTGAACCTAATGACACCAAAAAAATCCATCAATTTTAGGAATATAGAAAAATATTCTAAAATCGCTCTGCCTGTAAAAGTATAAGCATATCGTGTGATATTACAAATAATTTAACAAATCTTAAATTTTTCAGTGAAACAGTTGTAAGATTACAATTATAAAAATTATTGTGAAATTAATCAAATGAGCATCATAACGTTTTTATGACCCAAAATTGATCAGCATGTACAGTGTAGTTACTTGGTTGATTTTTTGTTTATGTTCGATGAATTATTATATTCTATGAATCTCGTGTAATTTACTCTTTTGGATATGTAATGTTTATTAAATAATAAACACGGAACGAAAGCCCGAAGATGAAATTAATGTAATTATAAGCGCAGAGAAAATAACATTAATAAGTGCTATGTTAAAAACGGGTATGTGCAGATACAAAGCCAAAGGTATTCTATAATCAAAGCACAGCATCACTACTGATACAAGAAATAACCATCTCCACGCATTCCAATCACGTTTGCACACATCACATTGTATGTGTGCACTATGTAAAACCGCCTCCGTTGGTGCAGCCCGAGGCATTTTGACCTCTACCGATTGGTTTTCTTTATGTAAAACGTATTTTTGTTATTTTTCTGTACTTCTCCTTCTTCGACTGGGAGAAACAAGCATTTTTTTTCACAAGCCATATTCTCCGACTTTTTGGATCTTGTGTATACACATTAATTGGTACTTGTGTCGCCTGAAGCTGGTCTTGTGTTCCGGTGGTAGCACATCACTTGGTACGACAGCGGTCACCGCTTTCGCTGGCCCCGACAATACAAAACGATGGTTGGTGTTTTTGCTATTTCTGATTTCAGTTTTTAAAAAGTCTTTCTCCTATATACGTGTCGGTGATTAATTACCGACGATCCTTAAAACATTTTATATTTTTATTAATTTTTTTTTTAGATATCTTACTCTTTTATTTTTTACTTCTACAAACCTCGGGGGACGCGTAACACTCGGTAAAATTAACCAATATTTTTTTAAATTACAGTTTGTTTTATTTTATAAGTTGTTAAAGATCATATTTACTTTTTTTATTTGACAAATCGTCACTTTATTTTCTGCGATACTATTTATTTTAGTATTCCAAAAAAAATTAATTTTCAATATACATTTTTTTTATAATATTTTTTAGTTAATAACATAACACAATCGACTTGGAACGTATAAATAAATTATCATTAGAGTTAATCATTTATAATAAGTACTAGGTCATAATAGATGAGATCACTTTCTGTATTAATGCAAAAATATAAAACAGCAATGATATCACAAGAAACGCACACAAATTTATGCCTTTTTTACTCATTTAAATTCTCAAAAAAGTCATTTTCTCACCTTTAGGCGTGTAAGAGCCAAAAAAAGTTTGTCAATTCATCTGTGGTCATCAAATTATAATCAAACATCTTACAGTGTTATCCCAAGTAAAAGTTTTCTTATATTATACTGACGTGATTTACTTGTTTTGTTAAACTTTCCATTTTCGTTAATTTCTGCATAATAGTTTACACTATACGTGTAATCAGATACAAAATAACAGCTGTGTTTTGCACGACATCTAGTCATTAAGTATAAATAACTGTTCATGCGTAACAATTATGTGAAACAGTTGATTCCTATACAAATAATTCCGTTTCAGGGATAAGTCATCATTTTTACTAAGTTAATTAGTGGTGAACAATACACGTGATACGATTTTTATTAATAGAACAAGATGCATGTAGAATACAATCGGCTGAATAAAACTTGAAAGCTTATAACTATACGCAACATCTTTAAACGAATTCATAATTTCATATTTACGATGCAGTCATGTGATAAAAAATGAACTTCCATTACTCGTATCAGTTTGTTTTGATTTAATGTGTTAATGTATTGTAGTTATAAAAACTATTATAAATTATTTAAAGCACATATTTAATTATTTGAATTTCTTGACATTTATTTGTCAAGCTAGGATTTGAATTATAATCAGGTTAGACCAACCGCCAAGATAATGTTATAAACGCGGTTATTGTCATGTTTTAGAGAAAATAAAAACAACATTTTCAAAGACATAGAGACGTATAATTATTTCAATAAGAAACTTTTATGCATTAAAACATCTAAGAACAATATATAATAAATAAATAAATAATAAATTATAAGATTAATAAATAAAATTAATACTTAACAAAATCATTCGAAATAATTTTCCTTCAGTTAACTAATTTTGTTTTTTAGTTATACTCCTAAACTAATATTTAATGTTTAAGTATTTGTACAACTCTTTAAATTGAAAAGTTAAAAGCAATTTTTAATTTTGGTAGAAAAAATAATACTGATAATTCCTATCATATAAACCAGTTTTATCTATATAAAAGAAAATATATAAATGCCAAATGCGTGGATTCCAATGTGAAACGAATTTACTAAAATGTAAATTCTATGTTGCAAAATAAATAAGTGTTAAATTATTACGGTTCAATCGGATAATTAGCCACAATATACCGCGGTGCATTGTTGATTGGAATAGATTGTTCTTGAGGTACTGGAGGTGCTGGAGAATGATGGAATAATCCGCCGAATTTTTCGGTTTTTTTTACCGGACATAAACATGGTACCCATTTTATATCTGAGTGGTGAGCTTCAATAATTGATTGTAACTGAAAGAGAGCATTTAAATCAATATATTTCTTAATTTATCCTGTTGAATATCTACAACGCTAAGTATTAAATGGCTTATAAATGTTTAAAATGATCAATCCTAAGACAAAATTTTGATTTTACATGATCTATGATTACTATACACGATATCTAGGGGGTCTGAGGGGCTTATCTCCCTCCTAATTCTATCACAGCCTCCACAAAATTTATAAAAATTACATTTAAATTTATATAGAAATATTTTTAAAGGCTGGGAGAAATTAAATTAGATCGCCATTATAGTAAAATAAAATTCAAATTCTTATTGTGGTTAACATGACACTCTACAGTCCTACAGCTGCAGCGACGGAATAAAATCATTATTGGAAATTACATTTACTAATTTTTGATGAAAGAAATTTAAAAATTAATTCCATACTATAAATGATTTGCAACATTTTGTAAATCATTGTGGTACGCGCGTAACCTCTGACACCGTAATAGAATTTTCAAAGATTATTACCAATAAACTATTAATCGAAAGTCTCATCGTATGCGAGTATCACTTCAGAAATATTTATTATTTGTTATGCCGGACCTACCAATTATTAAAATATTTTGATTCATACTAAACGAATGCAAAGAAAGTTTTTAAAATGGTAGTGATGTTAAATCAACGAAAACCTTTCTTTAACTAGAAATTAGTTTAATTATAATTTCTTGTACCTGTAAAAATGAAAATTTATATTTGTTTTAGTTATTTAACGAACGCAATATGTAAGTACTCCAACATAAAACTTAAAATATCATTTTAATCGTCCAAAGTCAACACGTCAGCCGGTACCATTCTTAGAATTAAAATCACTATGACTAAAGCTAATTTAGTAATGTTAAATTAATTAGATTAATAAGACATATCTTAAGTTCTGCTCGAAAATGTATCCTCTTAAATTCGAATTTTCAACAACTTAACGAGCAAAATAAATTAGCGAAATGGTATCTCCTTCAATACAGAGATAACTTCTCAAAACAGAAATCAAAGTCGCCCATGATTGGTTTCGAACCACAAGTACTGGGTGACGAGTACTGCCGCAATTTCAAGTCAGCTACGTCATTCCTCTTTTATTTATACGCGTACTAAAATTGTTTAATTTGAAAATAAAATGTACTTAATATTGTTTGTATCTACAAAGGTACGATAAAAAATTCAATAAAGAATCGATGACACGCCGAAATCATCGTAGGAATATCAAGGATGTATTTTCAACATCACTATACACTAACCGGATCTAAAAAATTATGGGTCCATAAAGAAAAAAAAACACCCCTTTATGTTTAGCAAAATATACTTTCGCAGTAATTGACTGGTCGACTTAACGTTGATCGTTTTTTTTATTACCGGAATGTTTCGGAACTACTGGATTACTAAAAAAACACTACGGAACGCACAACTGATGCGCATTGATAGATATGCCAAGTTTTTGAATATTAATGTGCGAGCAGTTATTATCACGCGCAGTCATAATGTTAATGACATTTCTACGAGCACTTCTTGCAACCGTCAGAGAAGCGCGTCCATACATCTTACGAGCCACTGGCAGTATGAATATTTTGCTCGAGTCAGGAAGTACGGAAAATACGCGTCTGGAGATAAGATGGTCGTGCTCGTCGATTTCTCTATTTATTTTATTTTTTGCGCTGGCGTGTAAGTAAGCTTTGACCTTCGGTGTCACTTTCTTTGATCACGAATCGAATGGACACACATGTACATAAGCGGCTTCGAGGAATGGTTTAAAAGAAGGAAACCGAGTACGCGAGTAAGCCTCATTGGTTTGCACGGCATCGTTGTTTTTGTCTCATCCGCGTGTTGACCGGTATCTTTCGACAAACCGATGCCTAGACACTTTTTTATGCGCATTAGTGTTGCCGTATAAAAACATTTTTATGGGTCGTTTGTTAAAGTGACATGAGAAGCGAATGTGCTTCTGAACGAGAACGTCACGAAGAGCTCGTCGGAGGGTTTAGCTGATCCGTTGAGCAATTGCCTAACAATGCAAACACATACGGGAAAAATAGCCATTGTGGCAAGTGTACAGGCCAATGTGATGGATTGCACGGAGGGAAGTACAAGACTGTTGAACGCTTATTAGTTTTAATGCGTACTGTAATCGCGGACATTGAACGGTTCTGTAAACCAACAAAATGCACCGGGTTCACGTGGGTAACGAAAGTGATATTTTCTTGGTACGCGTTAAATTATGTAAATACCGCGTTAACGAAAAACAGACGAATTTAGAAATTTGAAATTTATCGAATAAACGACCAGTAATCTAGCGACTAACACGATGTGTATGGCAATTACAATTTATTGACTCCCTGCAACGAGAATAACATTACTTAGCTGCTATAAATAATGTCGTCGAGTTTGTCGATAACTTTTTTTGACACTTGCGCGTTATTCGCATTGTTCATGCGTTGACGACGACATTAAAATAACTGAAAATAACAACAACTATCTTAACGGTTAAAGGCATTTTGTCGTTCGGCTCTTAAATCAGTCGAGTTAACGGCATTATTGTACTTTACGTTTTCATTCGGTGAAATCGTTTGCTCGGCAAATTCCTCAAAGATTTTAACGAACACGACAACGGGAAGCTTCAGACGGCGCAACTCAAACGGCGTTTGCGGCGATAAGCTTTTGACGGACAAATAGTAACGCGTCCCAACCGCTTTAGACGATAATGGCGTGTCGCTGACACGGACAGGATAATAACACACTAACGTCTTGTAGCCCACAAGCAAATCGGACAGTAACGGTCAGTCTGTTGGTGCTAAACTCGATCTGCGTTTTCCACAGCAATTGATTAGCTCCGTTTTGAGTAGCGGTTTTAGATTTGCCCAGTGCGTGTGATTTACACGCACGAATGTAACACTACACTAGAAATTCAATCGACACCCGTAACAGCTGCACGTGTTATTTCAAGTACCGCGCTTACGTATGGCCGTAACTACAGTGACAGTGTTCCACGAGGGTCACAACGCAGTTACTGTCATACTGTCTACTTCAATTGTTATTGTTAATTGTACTTTAATTGTTATGCACAAGAGCAAGCGCTTAGCGAATTTCCCTTGCCAATATAAAAGGAAGATACATTTTTCCATTGAACGTGCGATTATCCCAACAAAAGAAAGTTACATTAAGAGGTATTTCGACGTAAAGCAAAAAGGCGTTCCAAAGAGAAAATTTTTTTTTTTAATTAAAAATATCTATAAATATTGAACGAATGATGTTCACCTAATGTTTTAAATGTTTTTTTCTATTATTTATATGTAATATGTACTCGCTGATGTTGAAGTAGAGGTTTGTCGAATTAAACGAAAACGTTTTCAATTTCAGAATAAAAAAATGTACAATGTAAACTTTTTAAAAATTATTTTATCTATTCATTATTTTATTAATCAAATTTTAAATTAAGTTAATTTGTGGTATTATATGACATTATGTTTTAATAAATCTTGATGAACAGCTAAAAGTTACGGTGGAAATCTGATAAAAATCATTTTCATGAATTACACGAAAACTAAAATGGTCAATATTATTTTATACACAATGCATTTTGAAATTATTTTAATGAATCCGAATAAAAATACATTTAAAAAGAAAAATGCAAATAAATTCATCAACCAAGAGGTGATAAAGTTGCGTTTAAATTTTGAAAGTAACTTTATAAATATATCTTTTAAACTTTAAAAGGTTTATTTGGCATTTAATAAATGTAATTTTCCCTTTTACTTATAATAAAATCGTTGTATTTTTTTAAATAAATTACTTTGTGGTGTAAATTAGCCAACGGCAAGGCGACAGAAACATGACTCGTTCCAGCTGTCTCACTTTGTTGCTCTGGAACATAATTCACTTGCCACCAATGCTCTTTTTGTGGAACTTGTCTATAGAAAAAAACGTTTTTAAATAAAACTCTAAATACAATTTCGCGTGAACTAACATTTAAAATAAAATTCTGTTCACTTATTATATCCAATCGTAAAAAAAACAATAGTGATTGTCGTGAAGATGTTTACTTTTAAAATATTAAATTTTTGTTTACTTACACAGTGTATTGGCCATTTGGATCAACGGGTGCAGACACTTGAACTTTTTTCTTAGAAAATAAAGTTTGATCCGTGTCTAGTACGAATAAGGTAAGTATTACAACCACCTTTCATAAAAATAAATTTATCAACTATTGAATTGGCTTGTAAAAAACTTATAGAAATCAAATCATACGTACCGCTGGGGCGAAGTATCTGCTGTGTGCATACATGATGTGAACTATATCTAAAGACCAGTTTTCGACAGATTCAACCCTATATATAGCCTCAAAATTAAGGTAGGTCTCCTACCCCCATGCCCATGGTTCGCTGGAATAAGCGATTCAATGGTAGGATCCAAACGAGTACAGCCGAAACAGATAATTTACTTAGACAAGAAAAAAACAGGAATTAAATTAAGATCGATGAACTGTATACGAATAGACATACACGAAAGGGTACTTTTCAGTTCCCTCTCCCTCTTTGGTCATTAGGTTTTATTCGGCTAAACCTTGTTGTCCTACCACATTCCTGAATTGTTTATAAACCATTTTTATCTGCTTTATTGGAAACTAAGCTAGTATGTATGGTCATTATTATTAAAGTGAACCATTTATGTATAAATATTCATTTATAAATCATGTTGAGTTAAATACTTGATCATTAAATCACAATATATAAATCCATGTGAGCTTATGTCATCAAGTTTAGTATACCATATTACTGGAGTATTAAACATCTATGCAATTATCTACAACAAACCTAACTTTATTGACATTATGGTAGTACTCCATTCTTTACCACTATTCGTTCATCAATATCAAGGACACTATGTTTTCTCATTCATACGCACACACCTTCAAAACTTGATATTAGTCAGAAGTTTTAGTAATATAAAATAAGTGTTAGGGTAAAAAATGATGCAAAATATGTTTTCTTAGTTATTCAAAACCATAACACAAATCTAATTAATAATTGATTTCACTCAACTAATATATGGTGAAGTAGGGTAATTGTAAATGCATTTTTTTAAATAAATGCATAAGTATTTCTTTCTACTCATTTTTAATGTAATAGCAACACTTATAAAGACCAGAAATGTTCAATCTAAAATAAAATTTGCTATTCTAAGAGAAAGAATGAATTTACAATTACTCCACTTCGCTCTATATATACCGAATAGAACTTAAAAACTTGTATTTGCTTTTTTCAAGGGGATCCTGGATTTTCTTCTAAGAGCGTTCCTTATGCTAAATACTTATAATTTAATAAATTAACACATAAAATTTGAATAGAAAAGCTCTATTTTAATACAAATATCTTATTATATAATAGAACAAGGAAAAAAATATATATATAATAATATAAATATTACAAATATTTTTGAAAAAAATTGTTTAACTAAGTACCAATAAGAAAATTAAATAAATTTTTAATGTACTTACTAAAAAAATAAATACTCTGTGATTAAAAAAGTAGTGAGATTAGAAATATGTAAAAACAATTAATCAGGTTGGGCTTGTTGAAGCATTTAAAAAATTATTAATAAAATAGTTAATAAGTACAATGAAACTACTAATTTGTCAAATTACTCTCCGTAAAAGTAAACAGTTAACATTTCTCTTTGGCAGTTTAGTTTGTTTATTTTAATTTATTTTTAAGCCAGAGTTAAATATAATTTTGAAATAATTTTAAGTAAATTTTTTTTTAATTACTCATGTATTTAACTTTTACTTAACAAAATATTTAATTCATTTTTTAAGTGAAAAACTGTATTAATATTGAAGTAATACAAATCATTAAAAACAATTAAGAAATTAAATTCGCATAGTTATAGTTTACATTCTAGCGATTTCTTTTAAATATAATTTCATAAAATACGATTCTATAAAAATTCTATCAACACCACTTTAAAAAGAGAAAAAAATTGTGTAAAAAATAGTTTTTAACGAGCAGTTAAGCATGTATTTAGAGTATTGATAAAATATTTCAAATATCAAATATTTCATTAGCTCCCAAAATCTAAAAAATTATACTTAAAGATGTATAAAACATATTATGAGCGATAAACATTAAAAAAAATTATTAGCCCAAAAATATTTTATTTTGACCTCTGTTCTAGATTTTAGACTACTTCAAAGTAAAATTATAAAAATGTTTGTAATCTAACATAATATGTAGAATTACATATAAATATTATATGTTAATGTTACCTAGATTTCATTAGACTTTTTTGAAGTTATTTTTAAAAGAAAATTAATTTGATTAACCAAAAAATAGATACTGTGAATCCTTTCTTGATTTATAAGAGGTTATACCCTATCTAGTCATTTCCAGAGTTTCATCTTCGAATTTTTATATTAGTTAAAATGTATAGCATAAATTTACTACGACAAAACTGAATCATCAACTAATTATACATTTAGAATAATAATATATTTTTCATACATTTATTGGTAGCCCACCAATTTATTTAAAAGAAGCATCCCATTTTTTTAAATGAATTATTTATTTACAATTAATTTTGAATGTTATAGAAAAGTTTTAGGGATGTCGGATTATAAACTCTGTTATCTCAATTATTTGTTATTATATTTTATAACATATATTTTTGACTCTCTTAAAAAAAAATTATAACTAGTTTCATTTGGTAAATTTAAAAAAATCTGTAAAACTCATTTATTATACAATTATTTTAAATAAAAATATTTAAAAACTAATCTTCAAAGACCCCTCACCGATCATAATGAAAAAAATAGTATCGAGTTAATGCGGAGTAAAAGACCTATGTAATTTAAATAGTGGAGGTTCACATGATTTGACATAACGGATCCAGTTTTATATTATCTTTTATTTATTTACTAAATCTTTATTTTCTAATCTCTAGTTTTCTACATAATAATCCTTATATTTAATTTTATGATAATTAGATTCACAGTCTATGTAATGATCAGACTTGACTCGAGATTTACAAACATTTTAAGGATTGTCTATCAATATTTGTAATTAAATAATATGGATGGTTGCAAATTTTACTATAAGGCTACACAATACTTTTTATAATAATGTTGGATTAAAATGCATATTGCATTTATTTTATTCAACTAAACTCCTCTTCCAAATTTCGCTTAAAGGTCTAATACTCAATGTACAATAAATATTCATTTACATAAATATTCGACAATTTATTTTGCGTTCATTAGAAATTATATTACAGCGTATTTAAAATATTATTTGACGAGTTTATTAATAACACATGATGATCTAATAGTTTGTCTCATGTTTCGTCGGTTTAATGAAGATCTTCATGCATGCATATGCCTTATTGGAATTTGTTTTTTCAATACAAAACCGTATAACTGTATTTTTTAATGAAAAAACTTCCACTAATCCAAGACTGGTTTGGTTAATGGTAATTTACATTCTCAATACGAGTCAACCCCTAGAATGAAATCATCATCACAGTGTTTGGAGAGGAGCACTTTGGTTGTCAGGTATAGCCACCGCTTCCATTTTCATTGCCATCATCAAACACAGTTTCCTGTGGTATTCAATGGGAGGCCATTTTCTAGTTCATATTATCTCTACACCCCTTCACCCAGACGGCCGTTCAAAAGAAATTATCGCCGCTGTATCATTATTAACGTGACAAGCGCAGCAATAAACATTTAGGTACAACAAGATGTATCTCAATTAAGTATAATATATACCTACATTATGCGATGAGCATGTATAGTAGAGTAAAATATATATTTTCTAAAGTATACGTTAATGGTTTGCTTGGTAAGAAATATGTGATATATATATATAGTCTACTATTACCGTGTACGTCTTGAAAATATTACATATTGTTATTGTATTATAGAAAATAATAATATTCATAAGTAATGTACCGGCAATTTCAATTATGTTCCGTATATATACATAATCTAAAAATAGTACACTAATAGTTTTGGAGAGTTGCCTGCGGCCCGCCTCCTCTATTTCAGTATCCTAATTCTTCAGGTTAATTGGTATGATAACGTCAAAATTATGGTTAAAAAATATAATTGCTTTAAAAATTTATTTTATTATACATTTTACATAGTCATGCGGTATATTGTCGAGTTCAAAATTTTTTTTAGGGGTCTCTAAGCGTTAGCGCAAACAGACAAAAAAATGTTCTGCCATATTTTCATAAAATGAAAATATAAATGACTTTCGCTGCTTCTGCTACATTCCTCCATCTATCTCTATCCAGATTGTCCTTGTGTTCACATGTTGTTTAGATCATCATTTACTCTGTTTGCCCAGCGTTATTTAGGTGGCTCCTAGTTCTTTTCTCATTGACCTTTCCTTCCAGGGCTTCTTTTTAAAATCCCGTTTGATCTCCATACAGGCTTGCCCACTCGACACGTTTACTTGTGAGATACTTATTGATACCAGGTTTATGGTAAATTTGTTGCACTTTTCCGTTAGTTCTACTATTGTACATTTCATTTTCTAGAATAGGTACATATATCCTTCTAAACATTCTTTTTTCAAAACAAGCCTTTTTCCCTCATCTCTTTTAGTGGAAACTATATTTCACACCTGAATGTTAAAACTGGTCACAGGAAACTAGAGTACAGACGTTTTGTTTATCGTCTAGAGAGAATTTTTGACTTGAATATTTTTTCCAAAGCATAGTAATCCTTGTTAGCGACAGATATCCTCAATTTAATCTCATTATGCACATTAAGGGGTTTATCTACATATAAAAATTACAATTATTTTCTTAAAACGTCGAATTTTTATAAAATGAACCATAACAATAGAGACAATGAGGTTTCTTTTGATATGCTATGCATAAAGATTCAATAGAAAGCTTGAGCATAAGAAAGGTTTAAAACATTATGGATGTCCTACATATGCCAAATTTTTTTTTTTTC